TTATTTTCATATATGTGGATTCTGAAGATGGGATTTTGGTCCTGTAAAACATTTAAAACTGAATAGAACAGTGACTCCTGTACTGTTTTTAGCATTATACTCTCTTCTAGTATTTTATAGTGTTTTCCAGTTTGTATAAGTGTTTGTTTCTGTTTATAATGCTTACTTCTCATCTCTTTTTAGTATAGATACAGTACATACAGGATTCCTATGCACTTGGAAAGTCAGGGATTTTCATTAGTGTTTGGAAAAAGTCAGGAAATATGACAATTGTCAAAAAGTCAGGGAATCTGCTTCCTTGTTGCCTTGCTTATTTTGTTTGCTGACAGTATGGCTGACCATGTGTAGGTGTATTCAGATGACAAGAAGTAATGTAGTATTCAACTTATGAGCAAGGATGCAGAATATTTTCAGGACTCAAAATTTTTCCCAAACATACACAGAATTTCCCCAAAATTATAGCACAAAAAATAAAATTGTAAGTTATGAACCAATTAATAATTACTACTACATGATTTGAAGATTTGAATTAAATCATACAAATAATTAAATAGGCCTACCATGTAATTTTCCATGCAACACAAAACTGATAAGAAAAATATTTTAGATTAAAAGGATACTTTAATTTAAGCATATCATTATCATAGGATAGCATATACATTTATAAACTTGACATAATACATTGATTAACATAAATAAAATTGAAGTCAGTGCCATGAATAATTATTTTTACTTTTAGCACAGGCAGTAATTGACAGACTTTTTGGTAAACACGTAAAAGTAAGGGAAAATTATTGGGATGTTATCAATTCCTATGTTGCATCTGTACAGTACAATAAGACTCCGCATAACGCTGATTCGATATCACGTGGTCTGCTCAAAGCCTAAAAAAAGCTCAAAATTTATTCTGATTCAAATTATCGTGGCATGTTCCCTGTCCACATAAAACCAAAATTTAAGTAATCTTCATTGTACTAATTTTTGATCTTTTTGGCTCAGATTCATCACAGTTGGTATTGTCTATATTATCACTATTTTAAATGGATATATTTGTATCTACTGTTGCCGACATTAATAGTTTTGTTTTTTATTTAAAAATTTTTGTATGTCCATTTTCTGTTTTTCCTAATAAAAAAAAAACAGGTTTTGTAGGATTTTTAATTTTTATATACATTTAAATTACCTTAATAACCCTAAATTATTTACTTTACAAAACAAAACACAATTTAATATGACAATATTAACACAATATATATGAACACATAATACACTGCACGCCTATATGTACAACTCCAACTAGAGAGACTAGAAACAGGATCCCATATTTTGACTTTCTGAGATAATTCAGGGACTCTTATACAGTATTATATCAGTCTGATTCACATGGTCTGCGGGTGATATTTGAATAAAAGATAATTAGTCTTTTATTCAAATAGTGTTGGTGTCTGAATGCAGATGCCCCTGTATTCAGATATGTCAATTTCAGTTCGTCATAAAAAAATCCTTTGTGTACTTTATTCTTATTAATGGTATTGCATGTATATTTGGACAATGATGTTAAAATAAAAATGATGGTTTTTTTAAGATTTTGTGGCACTCCCTTTGAGAAACACTGGCCTACATCATTATGTTTCTTATAAAACAGCAACTGCACACCGGGTTGTGTAAAAATAAATAAGATCTACTTGAACCTTTAACCGATGTGTATAGAAATTAATCTTTCCAATACGAATGTTTTCTTAACCCCTTCTGGTCTCTTCTTCAGGTATAGCTGGATCAAACATCAAACGAAAAAATTTGAATACATCTGAACGCTGCTGAGTTTGAATCGCACAGTTCGTTCATTCATTTCGTCACGTGATATGTTTGAAAGTGTTCGAAGATAACGATATTATGTTTCTTGTTAAATGATAAGAATTTCCCACCCCAAAAAGCTCTAGACACAGATTCTCAAACTTATTTCGATCACCACCTACTTTGAGATAAAAAGAAAAATCTAGTGCCCCATATTTTTTAACTTATGCAACAGATGGTAATGTAAAAAGGTATCTTAAAAACAGTTATTGCAAATATAATGTTTAAACATGCATTATTATATAGATAGGGTGTGACCCATATCTTATTTCTGAGAACAAAGAATGTTTCAATGAGAAGAAATAAAACTCATATTTAATCACTGAGCCTTTACTGCCCCCCTGAAAGCCTCCAGCACCCACAAGGGGGCATTATTGCCCACTTTGAGAAAGGATGCTCTAGACTTTTAAATTATAAAAAGATCTGAGAGCTCAATTTTTTTTTTTTTCTTAAGGAAAAAGTATATTTTTATTTTCAAGTGTAAGAATATTGCTTTTTGCTCTGATAATTTTCATATAATCTAGCAACTGCTTACATTGCACATGTGCATTTGGGACCAAGTCAACTGCAGTAAATTTTTTGGATTTATCCACATTATCATTTTTATTTTTCCAAACGTTTACAAGGATGACATTCTGTATTTAGCTAGGGAGATGTAATAAATGCTTGAGAAAGGTCTCCCCTTCTTTAATACATAAATAATATAAATAATATTACTCTTATCTAAATTTGGAATATTAAGTTCCTTAACAAAAAATAGCCAAAGATGTAATCCATTAAGTTCATTTCTTTAGGTATTGAGTAGTTAAACAATGTAAAGTTATTATTAACTGCTGCATTAGCATCTCTATTCAAGTGAAATGATGATAAATCATTGTTACCTGAGATATGCCCTTCAATGTCACTTGCAAACTTAGTCACCTTATTCCCCAACTTTGCATTCTCCTCTTCAAGCTGAGCAGATGCCAAAGACGTTTTCATAAAAAACCTCCAGTGCAGCCAGGTGACTGTCCATTTGTTCTGACAATTTGGCAAACAATGATTCTAAAAAATCTCTGTGAAGAGATACCATCATCAAAGTATAGTGCTGCGTCACTATATTTTTTTGTTTTTGGTCTTTGTATATGTTTATGCCCTTTGTGTAATATGTTTCGTTATTCCGTGTCTGAAATTGTAATTGTGTAAATGAAATTTTATTAATTTTCTATTCTGGTTGAACTGCTTTTTGGGTGGTGCCGGCTGCCATGTAATGATTGGCTGTACGATGATCACGTGAAGGGGGTGATGTAGCATGATGGCAGGATGTATAAATTGTCATCCCATGTGTGGAGGAAGCACCTTTTTTTCCTAACCGGGACTTGGGCCAGGTGTACAGAGGTGTTGGAGCGTGGAGTGAAATAGAAAGAAATAGGGACACAACTCAGTTTGGACAAAGGATAGAAAATCGCTCGAGAAGCAATCAGATCACATCATTGTGAGTTATACATCATGATAATTTATTAATATCATTAGACACAGTGTTTTGGGTATATACCTAAATAAGACTAATATTTTTGTTCTCTGAGCTAATCAGGGAACCACATGGCCGAAACTATTGAGCGGATTTCTGAATTCTTAGACGGAAATTTTGTTCTCATACTAAGGAGATTCAATGAGGGACCTTCATCTGTAAAATAATTGTAATTTTTTTTTTTTTCTCGATCATCTTCACGAAAAGAGCATATATTAATTGTCGTGAGTGTCATTACTTGTATCTAGTAGTAGTTAGTGTAAGTTCAGATATATTGTCTATTATTAAAACTTTTTCAATTGCAATCCAAGTTGTTGTTTATGTAAGGTCCTCACACACACACATTTTACCCAACTGATTGTCTGGAGTATTTTCAATACTTCCTGGACACTACAAAAGTCAGCTCCTTTAGCATCTTTTGCAGAAAAGTAGGAGTCTAGCCATTGAATTTTTAATGAAGGTGTACATGGTGACCTCTTATGCTTGATCACTGAGAGAGAATAGAGAGAATACCATGAGTTTGAGCTACTTGACAAAGGAGTTCTAGTTGTCATTTCTGATGTAAATTAAACTGCAGAGAGAGTCAAATGACAAATTGAAAGATTAAGCTTTATGAACCAGATAGAAAATTTTGATGTAAAAATAATATATCAAATTAGCTTGAAAGTTAATGATTACTGAATATAATAAAGACAAAAACTTATTTAAATTACAAAATAAATTTTTTATAATTAAATGTATATAAAAAATTTTTCTTCTATGCAGCCAGCGTATTGATCAGGTTTGCACCTGATCATTGGGCATGGAGTTTTCTGGGTTTTCTGTATTTATCTAACACATCAATAGGGGCCAGTTTTTCATAGAAAGTCCTCCCAGGAGGCACTCTCTTGACAAATTACCATTGTGTTGCATTGCCTTATCCCATTAATCCAATCTAGTTAAATCCAATCAAATTTTTTTTCAAAATTGACAAATCCAAATATTCAACAAACTTAAAAATTGGATCAAAGTGGAGTTAATAAGAATTATACTGGAATCTCTACTAACTCCACCTTTGATTAATGTCTCAGTCTACCAGATTTAGTAGGAAATCCACTAACTCGACAATACTAGATACATTCACTTTTTATATACCTTTTTTTTGTCAAAAACTTTTTGCACTGTCAACTGTAAGATGCATTTGACAAAGTGAACTGCTATGAGTAACATTTCTCTAATGACAAATATTATATTTAAAGCTTTATCCATTTGGTTATCGTAAGTTCAAATCTAGACAGTTTATTGAAATTATTGGTGGTGGTGGTGGTTGTGTATTTATTTTAATTATATGAAACAAAAATTACATTTCTGGATATTTAATCAAACGTGATGAGAATAAAAATCTTTGGCATGCTGTAAAGAAAGGACTGGCAAGCTGTGGGTTGGATAAGCCTGTATTAAAATAGTTATAATTAAATTTAGTCTGTTTTGGAAGGGAATTATTGGTCTTTCAGGAGTTTTTCTGTATTTTGTAATAATAAATGTATAAATAAATATAAACTTGTTGGAGTAAATGAATATTATAGATTTATTCTCAAACTGTAAAATTTTATTACCAAGAATTTATTAAGTTTTTGAAAAATTGTTATTTTAATAGATGTGGACAGTTTATAGTGAATCTCCTGTCTTCTCATCAGCTTCTCAAATATCCTTAGATGCAAGTACGATGGACAGTAAAGACTTTGTTGTTATTGGATCAGATTCTGGTATTGTATTTTGTATAAACTCAACTAATGGAACTGTGGTGTGGACATTTCAATGTAATTCATCTGTTTATGCAACTCCATTTGTTTTTATTAACATTAATCAAACAGTTAAATATTTAGTTGTTGTTGCTTCAAAGCTAGGAACGTTATATATTTTAGATGGTCTAACTGGTAAAGAATTATGTAAGTATTCTCTTGATGGAGAAATTTTTTCTTCACCTGTTATCTGTGATAATTATTTGATAGTAGGTTGTCGTGATAACTTTGTATATTGCTTTAAAATATCATTTTTATAATAAATTGTGTTCAAAACAAAACTTTTTTATAGTCACTATTCTTTGTATTTCGTAAAATATTAGTTTATAAAATATAATTTATATATCAATATAAGTTAATATTAGAAAGAAAAATTATATATTATGATAAAATAAAACAAAAATTTTAAAGATTGCAAGATTGTAAATTTCTAAAAATTTTTCTTTCTAAACAGAGCACCTAGTTTAAATTCATGTAGTTTACTGAAGAAGGCCTATGATATTAGGTCAAAAATGTGCTGATTTATTAAATTTACTGCTAGAGTTACAAAGTGCTCTGTTTATTCTATTTCTTATTCTCTGGTTAGATCTTTTTCTTTTTTTTCTATAATAGCACAACAGTAAATGAAAGTTGTTTTTAATTGTACAAGGTGTTTAATTTATGTTTGAAATTTTTTCCTGGAATTCATATATTATAAAAAAAAGGCTGTTTTTTGCAAACAACTAGCTGCGCATAACATCCAACACACAGGTAATGCCCAACAGAACCCAAGACTACAATAATAATCAATCACGCATGGTAGTGGAATACAACCAACATCTAAACCCCATCTACAAAGAAATTGCTGCTTGTATGAACACAAATGAATTCTGCAAACTAAGTGGCCAAAGTTTCAAGACAAGGTATTGAAAATTTAGCAAATCAATGAAAAATATATAATTAATTAAAAGCTGTTATAAAGGTGTTTTATTTATTTATTTATTTTCAGATGTATAGAAAATACTCATTACTTATAGAATGACTTAATGCCATTGAATATTAAAAGATACCCAGTTTATTGATGTTTGCATCATCAGTAAAACTATATATCTCTTAATTTGGACTTTTTGGTATGAAAGATGCTTATATATTTTTATTTATATTATTGAATATAGAGATGAATATACATTTATAGTCTGAAAAGGAAAGTTGTTGTCTTTTCTGATTTAATTTCTTGTTGCAAAATAATGAGATTCATTTTATTAATGTCAGTGATTGAATATCACTGTAGAGGATCCAATTTTTTATGCAAAAGTAATTTTAAAATAAGAAAGAAAGATAGTAATTATCTGTTTATAACTAACTGATCAACTACATCATTTTCTAAATTTTATTTAATAAGACAGAATGAACAATAAAAATATTTATAGAAAATAATAATTAAATATATTCATTGACTTCATATTTCATGAAATGATAAAATTAGAATTGTAACCAAAGCAAGCATATATTAACACTTTCAGGACTAGGAAAGTTTGTGCAAATGCTCTTGCACATGGCAGGCCAGATTAAATTTTCAAATGGGGACAAAGGTTGGTTTTTCTCAGTTGAAAAATTTGAATACAATTATTTATGTATTTATTTTTTAAAAGATATTTTGAATGTAGTGTAATATTTAATGTAATTTAATCAAAACTTATAACATCAACATGTATAAAAGTAGCACTATTTTATTACAATAAATTAACAACAAACTTTTATAAATTACAGTAGAATTAAAATTTTACTTTATTGTAGGTCTTCTGTTCCTTAAATTGTTCCAATTTCTCCAAATTTAAGTTATGAGCTGTTTGATTTTCTATAACAGAAATGGCTAGTCCAGATAAATGTTTCTAATTTATAAAGAATTTTAAGTAGATTTTTTAATCAATCATAACTTTTTGAAACTTCCTTTTACAATTTGCAGATGAAGTCAGAAACATGCAATATATGATTAGTGCTGTGCATACATTTAAGAATGCACTTTCCAAATTATTTGCATAAAATTTTTGTAAGCCAAAAAGGCACTAGACCAGGGGTGTCCAACCTGTGGGCCGCATGCAGCCCAATAAACATGTAAACAAAACCGACAAATTGTTTTATTTTATTTACTTTTTTATTTCAATGGCATAAACTCAAAAAAGAAGTTTCACAAAGCCGTAAACTTTTATACATATTTTATTTTTGAGTGAAAAGGAAATATTTTCAAATACTTGGAGATGTGTGGATGACGAAGGAATACTAAATAAAGCTGAAGTTGTGACTCAAAGGATTATAGATCCAAATTTGAGAAAAGGAGAGAAAGGCCAAAAGATAAAAAGTAATGAGAAAGGTTAAATAGACCTTCTGTTATGCAAATATTGACCCTTAATTTTCAACCTTCCTTACTACTTTTTATCTTTTGGCCTTTCTCTCCTTTTCTCAAATTTGGGTCTATAATCCTTTGAGTTCCAACTCCAGCATTATTTAGTATTCCTTCCAGCATTG